TTCCACTATTATGGTTATATTTGCCTCTTTAATTAGTTGTGGAATGAACCAACCGTCTTCTATTCAATGGAAAACTTTTGAGTCTATTTAGAATGATCTGTTCACTGAACAGATGCAGGAAGTGACCTCTAAGGGTTCCGTGTGATTTCTATTCCTTGGGAAGTTGTCTTGATGACTCATCCCATGTCTTCAGTGACTGTAGGACTTAGTCATGATTTTCTGCCTGGCTTCGGACAAGTAACCTAACCCCTCTGAAGGCAGCTGCATGCAGAGGTGACTAAACTCACTTTATACGTTTGGGCCAAATGGACAAAGGCTGGTTAAGTGCTTGGGATACGTGGGGGAGTGTGGAGGGTGGGGGGTTCTTTGGAAGGACCTGTGAGGCTGTACAATGAGTGTGCCAGGAGGGCAGTGACACGGCAACACTGCTGTATATCCCACATGCCCTAGATTCTGGTAGAGACAGCCAGCCCCTAGACATCTATGTTTTAAGAAGAAATGGCAGGCACACAACATAGAACTGAGAAAAGAATGCCCATGGCAGAGGTTGGCTGGGGCTGGCTGGGACCATGGGGGCAGCAGCTCTGATGCGCGTGGCACCTCTGAGCTGTTCAGAGGCTCAGGCCTGCTGAGCAAGCAGGGTTTGCACAGAGGACCCAGTTACGTGGGGCAGGCCACCAGCAGGCCGCCACGCAAATTTAGTGGACAGTAACGCGACACACTCCACGGACCTTACATGAATAATACTTCTCTCTGTCCTCACGAGAAATTCCAATTCCTGTCACTCCTATTTTATTTATTAATTTTTTTTCATTTTATTTTTTATTTAAATTCAGTTAGCCAACTTATAGTATACCCTTAGTTTCAAATGTAGCTTTCAATATGTCACTCATAGTTTAGACACGAGGCATGGGCGCCCCTAGAGAAGTTTGTTGATCCGGCCCTGGGTCACGTGGCGCGAAGGGCAGAGCTGGGCACCGAGCAGACTGTGCAGATTCAGATCTCACGCCGTCCCCAGCGTGGAGTGTTGTCCTCATTGTCCTGTCTCCAGAGAATCTCTGTCCTGTTCAACAGGTGCAACGGGGAGTGTGCAGCATGCTCTGGTGAGTAAGGACGTCACATCCTCTGCCTCCGTGGATCCTAATTATTCTGGGGAAGATACACATAAAATGACCTCACAATGAATTGTCTCCTAATAGGAGACCCCTGAACCAGATCAGCTGGGCACAGCTCTAGTCAGGGAGATCTTGGGAGGCTCTCTGGGAGGGGGCTGAGTGTCCATCTGAAGAAAGCATTCGTGGTAACTGGGGTGCAGCCTGAGTTATGGCTGGGTGGGCAGTGGGAGAGAGGATGTCTCCCTGAATGACCACTGGTCTGCTTGACTCCTAACTGTTGCAGAACCCGTGACATTCTAAATCAACTGTCCACATGACAGTTGCCCAAAGAATGAGCTTCAACTGACCAAACCTGGGCGATGAGCAGCTAATATTAGCTAGGAAAGGGGCCTGCCAGGCTGGTGCTCTGGTGGCTTAATGGATGGAGTCTACAAAGCCCCAGTGTCTCGATGACCAAGGGTCTGACCCGCCCTCTGAGCAGCCAGAGCTAAGGCACGGCCCAGAATCGGCAGAGGCTCCCTGGCTCTGAGCGGGCACTTTCCTTCCTCCTTCCTTCCTCCCCAGCATCCAGTTTCTGCTGCACAAACTACAGTCACTCGACTTGCATCTACTCACTGATTTTGTACCCACAGGACCTTCAATGGAGTAGTCCATGGAGGTGATATTTGTGGCTCTACCCTGTTGTTTGGCCAGAAGTCCATTTGGATGCTGCCGAGACACTGCTGGGGACAGCCAGTAGATTTTCTTGACTACAGATGATTTTCTTGTGAATCCTGTGCTTGAATTCCCTATGATCTTCTCTGTTTGTAACCTAAGCCATGATCCTGGAAGTACACTAACCACAGAACGGTCGCTATGCAGCTGGGAGAAGACCCTGGGAGTGCGATCGTTCATTGCTGGGTCACACTCCCGTTCTCCTTGTTCACCTGTGCCTGGGAGCCAACTGAGTCCAGGCTGGGCCCAAGAGGGGCATTGCGATGTGGTGTGTGCTTACCACCCCCAGCAGAGTGATGCGTGGGGACGCGATTTTATTTGGATGACAGTACAGAAAAGATAATAGGACAGTGACCAGGAGCATGGGAGCTCGTGTCTGATGACTGGTATCTGATCATACTAGAAGCCACCTGGGAAAGTTACCTAAACCCCCTGTCCTCAGTCCCCGTCCTGTGACATGGGGCCTACTTACTAGTATTATGTTATAAAGCTTGCTAAACTCCAGGTAACGCCGAAGGAAATGGTACCTCGCAGTGCTGCATAAGTGATCCCATATGCCACGTCTGGAGGAATAAGCAAGAAATGCAGAAGTGGCTGCCTGCAGAGGGGGAGCGTGGACGGCTACAGGGCAGGAGAGGGTGGGAGGTGACCTTTCACATGGGCACGATGCTTTACCTCAGGGAGAATGTCTGCCATCCTCTCCCGTGATCCCCCAGCAGCCCCCCCACGGCATACACGGGGGGTGCAGTCACCCTCTATTTCGTAGTTCATGGCACTGAAGTTCAGAGATTTTTAGTAACTTGCCCAGAGTCATGATGTTGATGACAGACGCATCTGGGACAAGAAAGGAGTTGGTTCCCTGGGGACGGAGATCCCCGAACCCGGCCCCCAACTGAGTCCTGTGGATCATGTCCTGGACTCCAGACCAAGCGCTTCCCTCTCTCCGTTCCCCAAACTCTCTTGCTGCAGAGACACGGGAGGTGCTTGTGCCAAAGAAGGCATATGCTTGACTCAGCCTCCACCCAGAGGTTTCCTGAAAGGAAGTTCCTTGAAAGGTCAGGGGCTCCAATCTGTGTCCCTTCTCCCTCAGCATCTTCACACAATAGCTGCCCAAGATGAACTCCTGGGGGTCTGACCAGTGGTCTGTGTGGCTCCCACGTGGCTCAGAGTCCAGGCATTTCCAAGCCAACTGTCCACATGACAGCTCTCTAGTGAGTTACCTTGGCCTTCACCGACCAACTCTAGATGAACAGTTGGTGCTGATTAATGAGGACAGTGATCTACTGGCCTAGTATTTGGTGGTTTAATGGAGGAAGCTGGCATGTCCCCTGCTGTTTGCCTACTGATCTAAGCACCCGTCTGAGCAGCCTGGCCTAAGGTCTGGCTGAGGGCAGGCAGGGACTGCACTGGCTCTGCGTGGGTATCTTTCCTACTCCTCAATATGACAGAGTCTCTACAGACTCCTCATCCTTCTTAGTCTCCACAGTGGTAGCGGAGAGAGTCTCATGTTCTCTTAGAGGGTCACCTCCATTGCCATAGCCTATGACACCCACCCCCCAGGACTCTGAGAGTCACCAAGGCCCTCCTTCCCTCTGTCACCAAATGTTCATTCCATCAACCCGATGGCGCTATCCCTTCTCACCACTCCCCTAGGCAACACCCAAATGGCCAGGGACCCTGTCCACATCCATCCATGGAAATCCCACCATGAGATCCCAGTTTCCTTTCTTTTTTTTTTTTTTTCCAGTTTCCTTTCTAAATCTCCAGATTTACACTGCTACTTCCACAAAAGTAAAAGACAACCGACAGAACGGGAGCAGATACTTGCACACGACCTCTCAGACAAAGGGCTAGTGTCCAAGATCCATAAAGGACGCATTCCACTCAAGAGCAGAGAAACAAACAATCCGATCGTGAAACGGGCAAAAGACACGAACAGAAATCGCACAGGGGAAGACAGAGACACGGCCAACAAGCACATGAGAACATGCCCCGCATCGCTGGCCATCAGGGAACTACCGATCCAAACCCCCATGATGACATACCACCTCACACCAGTGGGAATGCGGGAAAAGTCACAAGACAGGAAACCACAAATGTTGGAGAGGATGCGGACAAGGGGGAACCCTCTTGCACTGTAGGTGGGAATGTGACCTGGTGCAGCCACTCTGGCCAACTGTGTGGATGGAGGTTCCTCAAAGAGTTAAAAACAGATCTTCCCTGCGGCCCAGCAATTGCACTGCCGGGGATTCACCCCAAAGGTGCAGATGCGGTGAAATGCGGGGACACCTGCACCCCGATGTTTATGGCAGCAATGTCCACAATAGCCAAACTGTGGCGGGAGCCTCGGGGTCCATCGAGAGATGAATGGATAAAGACGATGTGGTCCACGGCTACAATGGAATATCACTCAGCCACGAGAAACGACAAATACCCACCATTTGCTCCGACGTGGACGGACCTGGAGGGACTATGCTGAGTGAAATAAGTCCACCGGAAAAGGACAAACTTGATATGGTCTCATTCCTTTGGGGGAATATAAAAACTAGTGAAAGGGAACAAAGGGGATGGAGAAAATGAGGGGAAATATCAGTGAGGGCGACAAAACAGGACACACACCGAACTCTGGGAACTGAACAAGAGGTAGCGCAAGGGGAGGTGGGCGGGCGGCTGGGGCGACCGGGTGATGGGCACTGATGGGGGCACTTGGCGGGATGAGCACTGGGTGTTATGCTATATGCTGGCAAATTGGAACTCCAATACAAAAATGTAAAAACAGAAAACATTTTGCTACTATTTAACACGGACTAGTATGTCCAAATGTTAGCTTCACAACCCCTCCCCTTAAATCTGACCAAATTAGAGTTCTCAATGCGATTTCGCTATTTTGGCCACAAACTAATGACGGACCTTTTAAATTGAGATTTGGACACATGAAACATAAAGAATACGGCTTAGGAGGTTTGCTTAACAATGGCACCACGAGCAAAACTGAATAATGATTCTGTTTTGTGCGTGTGCAGAGAGCAAAAGAGCAAGTGTAAGGAGGAGACGGGCAGAGAGAAAGGAAGAGAGAGTACGAAGCAGGCTCCATGCTGAATATGGGTGAATCTGATGACCCTGAGGTCACGAGCAGAGCTGAAACCAGGAGGCACAAACTTAGCTGACAGAAACACCCAGGTGCCCCTAACAAGATTTCTTGAGGTTATTTAATGAATCAATTTTCATGTTACCCTCTGGGATCTCCGCTGATGGGTCAAGTTCTCTGCTACAGAAGATGGTAAATATTTTCCCCCGCGTTCCAGGGCAGGTGTCCCCGGGTTGTCTGCTCGTTTTTTCTTGTGTTGTTTCCACAGCAGATCCTGGGAAATAAATGGACATAGAAAGAGCTGTTGACTGACAGGTTGTTGTTAGAAGAGCCTCGAAAATTAAGGAGTCAATCCCATTTACAATTGCACCCAAAAGCATAAGATCCCTGGGAAGAAACCTAACCAAAGAGGTAAAGGATCTGTACCCCGAAACACCACAGAACGTTCCTGAAAGAAATTGAGGAAGGCATCAAGAGATGGAAAAATTTGCCGTTCTCATAGACAGGAAGAATTAATATTGTGAAAATGTCATGGTACCCAGGGCAATTTACACATTTCATGCAATCCCTATCGGAATAACATGGACTTTCTTCAGAGAGTCGGAACAAACCATCTTAAGTTTAGTGTGGAACCGGAAAAGACCCCGAATAGACAGGGGACTGACTATTAAAAACGAAGACCACGGCTGGGGGCATCACAATGCCAGATTTCAGGTTGTACTACAAAGCCGTGGCCGTCCAGACAGTGTGGTACTGGCACAAAAACGGACCCAGAGATCCATGGAACTGAACAACGAATCCAGAAGTGGACCCTCAACTTTACGGTCAACTAATATGCGACAAAGCAGGAAAGACTACGCACTGGAGTAAAGACAGTCTCTACAATAAATGGAGCTGGGAACATTGGACATCCACATGCAGAAGAAGGAACCTAGACCATTCTCTGACACCACACACAAAGATAAACTCAAAAAGGATGAAAGATCTAAATGTGAGACAAGAATCCATCCAAATCCTAGAGGCGAACAGAGGCAACACCCTTTTTCAACTTGGCCACAGCAACGTCTCGCAAGATACATCCGCGAGGGCAAGAGAAACAAAAGCAACAACGAAGTGCTGGGACTTCACCCAGATCGAACGCTCCTGCACAGCAAAAGAAGCAGTCCACAAAAGTAAAAGACAACCGACAGAACGGGAGCAGATACTTGCACACGACCTCTCAGACAAAGGGCTAGTGTCCAAGATCCATAAAGGACGCATTCCACTCAAGAGCAGAGAAACAAACAATCCGATCGTGAAACGGGCAAAAGACACGAACAGAAATCGCACAGGGGAAGACAGAGACACGGCCAACAAGCACATGAGAACATGCCCCGCATCGCTGGCCATCAGGGAACTACCGATCCAAACCCCCATGATGACATACCACCTCACACCAGTGGGAATGCGGGAAAAGTCACAAGACAGGAAACCACAAATGTTGGAGAGGATGCGGACAAGGGGAACCCTCTTGCACTGTAGGTGGGAATGTGACCTGGTGCAGCCACTCTGGCCAACTGTGTGGATGGAGGTTCCTCAAAGAGTTAAAAACAGATCTTCCCTGCGGCCCAGCAATTGCACTGCTGGGATTCACCCCAAAGGTGCAGATGCGGTGAAATGCGGGGACACCTGCACCCCGATGTTTATGGCAGCAATGTCCACAATAGCCAAACTGTGGCGGGAGCCTCGGGGTCCATCGAGAGATGAATGGATAAAGACGATGTGGTCCACGGCTACAATGGAATATCACTCAGCCACGAGAAACGACAAATACCCACCATTTGCTCCGACGTGGACGGACCTGGAGGGACTATGCTGAGTGAAATAAGTCCACCGGAAAAGGACAAACTTGATATGGTCTCATTCCTTTGGGGGAATATAAAAACTAGTGAAAGGGAACAAAGGGGATGGAGAAAATGAGGGGAAATATCAGTGAGGGCGACAAAACAGGACACACACCGAACTCTGGGAACTGAACAAGAGGTAGCGCAAGGGGAGGTGGGCGGGCGGCTGGGGCGACCGGGTGATGGGCACTGATGGGGGCACTTGGCGGGATGAGCACTGGGTGTTATGCTATATGCTGGCAAATTGGAACTCCAATACAAAAATGTAAAAACAGAAAACATTTTGCTACTATTTAACACGGACTAGTATGTCCAAATGTTAGCTTCACAACCCCTCCCCTTAAATCTGACCAAATTAGAGTTCTCAATGCGATTTCGCTATTTTGGCCACAAACTAATGACGGACCTTTTAAATTGAGATTTGGACACATGAAACATAAAGAATACGGCTTAGGAGGTTTGCTTAACAATGGCACCACGAGCAAAACTGAATAATGATTCTGTTTTGTGCGTGTGCAGAGAGCAAAAGAGCAAGTGTAAGGAGGAGACGGGCAGAGAGAAAGGAAGAGAGAGTACGAAGCAGGCTCCATGCTGAATATGGGTGAATCTGATGACCCTGAGGTCACGAGCAGAGCTGAAACCAGGAGGCACAAACTTAGCTGACAGAAACACCCAGGTGCCCCTAACAAGATTTCTTGAGGTTATTTAATGAATCAATTTTCATGTTACCCTCTGGGATCTCCGCTGATGGGTCAAGTTCTCTGCTACAGAAGATGGTAAATATTTTCCCCCGCGTTCCAGGGCAGGTGTCCCCGGGTTGTCTGCTCGTTTTTTCTTGTGTTGTTTCCACAGCAGATCCTGGGAAATAAATGGACATAGAAAGAGCTGTTGACTGACAGGTTGTTGTTAGAAGAGCCTCGAAAATTAAGGAGTCAATCCCATTTACAATTGCACCCAAAAGCATAAGATCCCTGGGAAGAAACCTAACCAAAGAGGTAAAGGATCTGTACCCCGAAACACCACAGAACGTTCCTGAAAGAAATTGAGGAAGGCATCAAGAGATGGAAAAATTTGCCGTTCTCATAGACAGGAAGAATTAATATTGTGAAAATGTCATGGTACCCAGGGCAATTTACACATTTCATGCAATCCCTATCGGAATAACATGGACTTTCTTCAGAGAGTCGGAACAAACCATCTTAAGTTTAGTGTGGAACCGGAAAAGACCCCGAATAGACAGGGGACTGACTATTAAAAACGAAGACCACGGCTGGGGGCATCACAATGCCAGATTTCAGGTTGTACTACAAAGCCGTGGCCGTCCAGACAGTGTGGTACTGGCACAAAAACGGACCCAGAGATCCATGGAACTGAACAACGAATCCAGAAGTGGACCCTCAACTTTACGGTCAACTAATATGCGACAAAGCAGGAAAGACTACGCACTGGAGTAAAGACAGTCTCTACAATAAACGGAGCTGGGAACATTGGACATCCACATGCAGAAGAAGGAACCTAGACCATTCTCTGACACCACACACAAAGATAAACTCAAAAAGGATGAAAGATCTAAATGTGAGACAAGAATCCATCCAAATCCTAGAGGCGAACAGAGGCAACACCCTTTTTCAACTTGGCCACAGCAACGTCTCGCAAGATACATCCGCGAGGGCAAGAGAAACAAAAGCAACAACGAAGTGCTGGGACTTCACCCAGATCGAACGCTCCTGCACAGCAAAAGAAGCAGTCCACAAAAGTAAAAGACAACCGACAGAACGGGAGCAGATACTTGCACACGACCTCTCAGACAAAGGGCTAGTGTCCAAGATCCATAAAGGACGCATTCCACTCAAGAGCAGAGAAACAAACAATCCGATCGTGAAACGGGCAAAAGACACGAACAGAAATCGCACAGGGGAAGACAGAGACACGGCCAACAAGCACATGAGAACATGCCCCGCATCGCTGGCCATCAGGGAACTACCGATCCAAACCCCCATGATGACATACCACCTCACACCAGTGGGAATGCGGGAAAAGTCACAAGACAGGAAACCACAAATGTTGGAGAGGATGCGGACAAGGGGAACCCTCTTGCACTGTAGGTGGGAATGTGACCTGGTGCAGCCACTCTGGCCAACTGTGTGGATGGAGGTTCCTCAAAGAGTTAAAAACAGATCTTCCCTGCGGCCCAGCAATTGCACTGCTGGGGATTCACCCCAAAGGTGCAGATGCGGTGAAATGCGGGGACACCTGCACCCCGATGTTTATGGCAGCAATGTCCACAATAGCCAAACTGTGGCGGGAGCCTCGGGGTCCATCGAGAGATGAATGGATAAAGACGATGTGGTCCACGGCTACAATGGAATATCACTCAGCCACGAGAAACGACAAATACCCACCATTTGCTCCGACGTGGACGGACCTGGAGGGACTATGCTGAGTGAAATAAGTCCACCGGAAAAGGACAAACTTGATATGGTCTCATTCCTTTGGGGGAATATAAAAACTAGTGAAAGGGAACAAAGGGGATGGAGAAAATGAGGGGAAATATCAGTGAGGGCGACAAAACAGGACACACACCGAACTCTGGGAACTGAACAAGAGGTAGCGCAAGGGAGGTGGGCGGGCGGCTGGGGCGACCGGGTGATGGGCACTGATGGGGGCACTTGGCGGGATGAGCACTGGGTGTTATGCTATATGCTGGCAAATTGGAACTCCAATACAAAAATGTAAAAACAGAAAACATTTTGCTACTATTTAACACGGACTAGTATGTCCAAATGTTAGCTTCACAACCCCTCCCCTTAAATCTGACCAAATTAGAGTTCTCAATGCGATTTCGCTATTTTGGCCACAAACTAATGACGGACCTTTTAAATTGAGATTTGGACACATGAAACATAAAGAATACGGCTTAGGAGGTTTGCTTAACAATGGCACCACGAGCAAAACTGAATAATGATTCTGTTTTGTGCGTGTGCAGAGAGCAAAAGAGCAAGTGTAAGGAGGAGACGGGCAGAGAGAAAGGAAGAGAGAGTACGAAGCAGGCTCCATGCTGAATATGGGTGAATCTGATGACCCTGAGGTCACGAGCAGAGCTGAAACCAGGAGGCACAAACTTAGCTGACAGAAACACCCAGGTGCCCCTAACAAGATTTCTTGAGGTTATTTAATGAATCAATTTTCATGTTACCCTCTGGGATCTCCGCTGATGGGTCAAGTTCTCTGCTACAGAAGATGGTAAATATTTTCCCCCGCGTTCCAGGGCAGGTGTCCCCGGGTTGTCTGCTCGTTTTTTCTTGTGTTGTTTCCACAGCAGATCCTGGGAAATAAATGGACATAGAAAGAGCTGTTGACTGACAGGTTGTTGTTAGAAGAGCCTCGAAAATTAAGGAGTCAATCCCATTTACAATTGCACCCAAAAGCATAAGATCCCTGGGAAGAAACCTAACCAAAGAGGTAAAGGATCTGTACCCCGAAACACCACAGAACGTTCCTGAAAGAAATTGAGGAAGGCATCAAGAGATGGAAAAATTTGCCGTTCTCATAGACAGGAAGAATTAATATTGTGAAAATGTCATGGTACCCAGGGCAATTTACACATTTCATGCAATCCCTATCGGAATAACATGGACTTTCTTCAGAGAGTCGGAACAAACCATCTTAAGTTTAGTGTGGAACCGGAAAAGACCCCGAATAGACAGGGGACTGACTATTAAAAACGAAGACCACGGCTGGGGGCATCACAATGCCAGATTTCAGGTTGTACTACAAAGCCGTGGCCGTCCAGACAGTGTGGTACTGGCACAAAAACGGACCCAGAGATCCATGGAACTGAACAACGAATCCAGAAGTGGACCCTCAACTTTACGGTCAACTAATATGCGACAAAGCAGGAAAGACTACGCACTGGAGTAAAGACAGTCTCTACAATAAATGGAGCTGGGAACATTGGACATCCACATGCAGAAGAAGGAACCTAGACCATTCTCTGACACCACACACAAAGATAAACTCAAAAAGGATGAAAGATCTAAATGTGAGACAAGAATCCATCCAAATCCTAGAGGCGAACAGAGGCAACACCCTTTTTCAACTTGGCCACAGCAACGTCTCGCAAGATACATCCGCGAGGGCAAGAGAAACAAAAGCAACAACGAAGTGCTGGGACTTCACCCAGATCGAACGCTCCTGCACAGCAAAAGAAGCAGTCCACAAAAGTAAAAGACAACCGACAGAACGGGAGCAGATACTTGCACACGACCTCTCAGACAAAGGGCTAGTGTCCAAGATCCATAAAGGACGCATTCCACTCAAGAGCAGAGAAACAAACAATCCGATCGTGAAACGGGCAAAAGACACGAACAGAAATCGCACAGGGGAAGACAGAGACACGGCCAACAAGCACATGAGAACATGCCCCGCATCGCTGGCCATCAGGGAACTACCGATCCAAACCCCCATGATGACATACCACCTCACACCAGTGGGAATGCGGGAAAAGTCACAAGACAGGAAACCACAAATGTTGGAGAGGATGCGGACAAGGGGAACCCTCTTGCACTGTAGGTGGGAATGTGACCTGGTGCAGCCACTCTGGCCAACTGTGTGGATGGAGGTTCCTCAAAGAGTTAAAAACAGATCTTCCCTGCGGCCCAGCAATTGCACTGCCGGGGATTCACCCCAAAGGTGCAGATGCGGTGAAATGCGGGGACACCTGCACCCCGATGTTTATGGCAGCAATGTCCACAATAGCCAAACTGTGGCGGGAGCCTCGGGGTCCATCGAGAGATGAATGGATAAAGACGATGTGGTCCACGGCTACAATGGAATATCACTCAGCCACGAGAAACGACAAATACCCACCATTTGCTCCGACGTGGACGGACCTGGAGGGACTATGCTGAGTGAAATAAGTCCACCGGAAAAGGACAAACTTGATATGGTCTCATTCCTTTGGGGAATATAAAAACTAGTGAAAGGGAACAAAGGGGATGGAGAAAATGAGGGGAAATATCAGTGAGGGCGACAAAACAGGACACACACCGAACTCTGGGAACTGAACAAGAGGTAGCGCAAGGGAGGTGGGCGGGCGGCTGGGGCGACCGGGTGATGGGCACTGATGGGGGCACTTGGCGGGATGAGCACTGGGTGTTATGCTATATGCTGGCAAATTGGAACTCCAATACAAAAATGTAAAAACAGAAAACATTTTGCTACTATTTAACACGGACTAGTATGTCCAAATGTTAGCTTCACAACCCCTCCCCTTAAATCTGACCAAATTAGAGTTCTCAATGCGATTTCGCTATTTTGGCCACAAACTAATGACGGACCTTTTAAATTGAGATTTGGACACATGAAACATAAAGAATACGGCTTAGGAGGTTTGCTTAACAATGGCACCACGAGCAAAACTGAATAATGATTCTGTTTTGTGCGTGTGCAGAGAGCAAAAGAGCAAGTGTAAGGAGGAGACGGGCAGAGAGAAAGGAAGAGAGAGTACGAAGCAGGCTCCATGCTGAATATGGGTGAATCTGATGACCCTGAGGTCACGAGCAGAGCTGAAACCAGGAGGCACAAACTTAGCTGACAGAAACACCCAGGTGCCCCTAACAAGATTTCTTGAGGTTATTTAATGAATCAATTTTCATGTTACCCTCTGGGATCTCCGCTGATGGGTCAAGTTCTCTGCTACAGAAGATGGTAAATATTTTCCCCCGCGTTCCAGGGCAGGTGTCCCCGGGTTGTCTGCTCGTTTTTTCTTGTGTTGTTTCCACAGCAGATCCTGGGAAATAAATGGACATAGAAAGAGCTGTTGACTGACAGGTTGTTGTTAGAAGAGCCTCGAAAATTAAGGAGTCAATCCCATTTACAATTGCACCCAAAAGCATAAGATCCCTGGGAAGAAACCTAACCAAAGAGGTAAAGGATCTGTACCCCGAAACACCACAGAACGTTCCTGAAAGAAATTGAGGAAGGCATCAAGAGATGGAAAAATTTGCCGTTCTCATAGACAGGAAGAATTAATATTGTGAAAATGTCATGGTACCCAGGGCAATTTACACATTTCATGCAATCCCTATCGGAATAACATGGACTTTCTTCAGAGAGTCGGAACAAACCATCTTAAGTTTAGTGTGGAACCGGAAAAGACCCCGAATAGACAGGGGACTGACTATTAAAAACGAAGACCACGGCTGGGGGCATCACAATGCCAGATTTCAGGTTGTACTACAAAGCCGTGGCCGTCCAGACAGTGTGGTACTGGCACAAAAACGGACCCAGAGATCCATGGAACTGAACAACGAATCCAGAAGTGGACCCTCAACTTTACGGTCAACTAATATGCGACAAAGCAGGAAAGACTACGCACTGGAGTAAAGACAGTCTCTACAATAAATGGAGCTGGGAACATTGGACATCCACATGCAGAAGAAGGAACCTAGACCATTCTCTGACACCACACACAAAGATAAACTCAAAAAGGATGAAAGATCTAAATGTGAGACAAGAATCCATCCAAATCCTAGAGGCGAACAGAGGCAACACCCTTTTTCAACTTGGCCACAGCAACGTCTCGCAAGATACATCCGCGAGGGCAAGAGAAACAAAAGCAACAACGAAGTGCTGGGACTTCACCCAGATCGAACGCTCCTGCACAGCAAAAGAAGCAGTCCACAAAAGTAAAAGACAACCGACAGAACGGGAGCAGATACTTGCACACGACCTCTCAGACAAAGGGCTAGTGTCCAAGATCCATAAAGGACGCATTCCACTCAAGAGCAGAGAAACAAACAATCCGATCGTGAAACGGGCAAAAGACACGAACAGAAATCGCACAGGGGAAGACAGAGACACGGCCAACAAGCACATGAGAACATGCCCCGCATCGCTGGCCATCAGGGAACTACCGATCCAAACCCCCATGATGACATACCACCTCACACCAGTGGGAATGCGGGAAAAGTCACAAGACAGGAAACCACAAATGTTGGAGAGGATGCGGACAAGGGGAACCCTCTTGCACTGTAGGTGGGAATGTGACCTGGTGCAGCCACTCTGGCCAACTGTGTGGATGGAGGTTCCTCAAAGAGTTAAAAACAGATCTTCCCTGCGGCCCAGCAATTGCACTGCTGGGGATTCACCCCAAAGGTGCAGATGCGGTGAAATGCGGGGACACCTGCACCCCGATGTTTATGGCAGCAATGTCCACAATAGCCAAACTGTGGCGGGAGCCTCGGGGTCCATCGAGAGATGAATGGATAAAGACGATGTGGTCCACGGCTACAATGGAATATCACTCAGCCACGAGAAACGACAAATACCCACCATTTGCTCCGACGTGGACGGACCTGGAGGGACTATGCTGAGTGAAATAAGTCCACCGGAAAAGGACAAACTTGATATGGTCTCATTCCTTTGGGGAATATAAAAACTAGTGAAAGGGAACAAAGGGGATGGAGAAAATGAGGGGAAATATCAGTGAGGGCGACAAAACAGGACACACACCGAACTCTGGGAACTGAACAAGAGGTAGCGCAAGGGGAGGTGGGCGGGCGGCTGGGGCGACCGGGTGATGGGCACTGATGGGGGCACTTGGCGGGATGAGCACTGGGTGTTATGCTATATGCTGGCAAATTGGAACTCCAATACAAAAATGTAAAAACAGAAAACATTTTGCTACTATTTAACACGGACTAGTATGTCCAAATGTTAGCTTCACAACCCCTCCCCTTAAATCTGACCAAATTAGAGTTCTCAATGCGATTTCGCTATTTTGGCCACAAACTAATGACGGACCTTTTAAATTGAGATTTGGACACATGAAACATAAAGAATACGGCTTAGGAGGTTTGCTTAACAATGGCACCACGAGCAAAACTGAATAATGATTCTGTTTTGTGCGTGTGCAGAGAGCAAAAGAGCAAGTGTAAGGAGGAGACGGGCAGAGAGAAAGGAAGAGAGAGTACGAAGCAGGCTCCATGCTGAATATGGGTGAATCTGATGACCCTGAGGTCACGAGCAGAGCTGAAACCAGGAGGCACAAACTTAGCTGACAGAAACACCCAGGTGCCCCTAACAAGATTTCTTGAGGTTATTTAATGAATCAATTTTCATGTTACCCTCTGGGATCTCCGCTGATGGGTCAAGTTCTCTGCTACAGAAGATGGTAAATATTTTCCCCCGCGTTCCAGGGCAGGTGTCCCCGGGTTGTCTGCTCGTTTTTTCTTGTGTTGTTTCCACAGCAGATCCTGGGAAATAAATGGACATAGAAAGAGCTGTTGACTGACAGGTTGTTGTTAGAAGAGCCTCGAAAATTAAGGAGTCAATCCCATTTACAATTGCACCCAAAAGCATAAGATCCCTGGGAAGAAACCTAACCAAAGAGGTAAAGGATCTGTACCCCGAAACACCACAGAACGTTCCTGAAAGAAATTGAGGAAGGCATCAAGAGATGGAAAAATTTGCCGTTCTCATAGACAGGAAGAATTAATATTGTGAAAATGTCATGGTACCCAGGGCAATTTACACATTTCATGCAATCCCTATCGGAATAACATGGACTTTCTTCAGAGAGTCGGAACAAACCATCTTAAGTTTAGTGTGGAACCGGAAAAGACCCCGAATAGACAGGGGACTGACTATTAAAAACGAAGACCACGGCTGGGGGCATCACAATGCCAGATTTCAGGTTGTACTACAAAGCCGTGGCCGTCCAGACAGTGTGGTACTGGCACAAAAACGGACCCAGAGATCCATGGAACTGAACAACGAATCCAGAAGTGGACCCTCAACTTTACGGTCAACTAATATGCGACAAAGCAGGAAAGACTACGCACTGGAGTAAAGACAGTCTCTACAATAAACGGAGCTGGGAACATTGGACATCCACATGCAGAAGAAGGAACCTAGACCATTCTCTGACACCACACACAAAGATAAACTCAAAAAGGATGAAAGATCTAAATGTGAGACAAGAATCCATCCAAATCCTAGAGGCGAACAGAGGCAACACCCTTTTTCAACTTGGCCACAGCAACGTCTCGCAAGATACATCCGCGAGGGCAAGAGAAACAAAAGCAACAACGAAGTGCTGGGACTTCACCCAGATCGAACGCTCCTGCACAGCAAAAGAAGCAGTCCACAAAAGTAAAAGACAACCGACAGAACGGGAGCAGATACTTGCACACGACCTCTCAGACAAAGGGCTAGTGTCCAAGATCCATAAAGGACGCATTCCACTCAAGAGCAGAGAAACAAACAATCCGATCGTGAAACGGGCAAAAGACACGAACAGAAATCGCACAGGGGAAGACAGAGACACGGCCAACAAGCACATGAGAACATGCCCCGCATCGCTGGCCATCAGGGAACTACCGATCCAAACCCCCATGATGACATACCACCTCACACCAGTGGGAATGCGGGAAAAGTCACAAGACAGGAAACCACAAATGTTGGAGAGGATGCGGACAAGGGGAACCCTCTTGCACTGTAGGTGGGAATGTGACCTGGTGCAGCCACTCTGGCCAACTGTGTGGATGGAGGTTCCTCAAAGAGTTAAAAACAGATCTTCCCTGCGGCCCAGCAATTGCACTGCTGGGGATTCACCCCAAAGGTGCAGATGCGGTGAAATGCGGGGACACCTGCACCCCGATGTTTATGGCAGCAATGTCCACAATAGCCAAACTGTGGCGGGAGCCTCGGGGTCCATCGAGAGATGAATGGATAAAGACGATGTGGTCCACGGCTACAATGGAATATCACTCAGCCACGAGAAACGACAAATACCCACCATTTGCTCCGACGTGGACGGACCTGGAGGGACTATGCTGAGTGAAATAAGTCCACCGGAAAAGGACAAACTTGATATGGTCTCATTCCTTTGGGGGAATATAAAAACTAGTGAAAGGGAACAAAGGGGATGGAGAAAATGAGGGGAAATATCAGTGAGGGCGACAAAACAGGACACACACCGAACTCTGGGAACTGAACAAGAGGTAGCGCAAGGGGAGGTGGGCGGGCGGCTGGGGCGACCGGGTGATGGGCACTGATGGGGGCACTTGGCGGGATGAGCACTGGGTGTTATGCTATATGCTGGCAAATTGGAACTCCAATACAAAAATGTAAAAACAGAAAACATTTTGCTACTATTTAACACGGACTAGTATGTCCAAATGTTAGCTTCACAACCCCTCCCCTTAAATCTGACCAAATTAGAGTTCTCAATGCGATTTCGCTATTTTGGCCACAAACTAATGACGGACCTTTTAAATTGAGATTTGGACACATGAAACATAAAGAATACGGCTTAGGAGGTTTGCTTAACAATGGCACCACGAGCAAAACTGAATAATGATTCTGTTTTGTGCGTGTGCAGAGAGCAAAAGAGCAAGTGTAAGGAGGAGACGGGCAGAGAGAAAGGAAGAGAGAGTACGAAGCAGGCTCCATGCTGAATATGGGTGAATCTGATGACCCTGAGGTCACGAGCAGAGCTGAAACCAGGAGGCACAAACTTAGCTGACAGAAACACCCAGGTGCCCCTAACAAGATTTCTTGAGGTTATTTAATGAATCAATTTTCATGTTACCCTCTGGGATCTCCGCTGATGGGTCAAGTTCTCTGCTACAGAAGATGGTAAATATTTTCCCCCGCGTTCCAGGGCAGGTGTCCCCGGGTTGTCTGCTCGTTTTTTCTTGTGTTGTTTCCACAGCAGATCCTGGGAAATAAATGGACATAGAAAGAGCTGTTGACTGACAGGTTGTTGTTAGAAGAGCCTCGAAAATTAAGGAGTCAATCCCATTTACAATTGCACCCAAAAGCATAAGATCCCTGGGAAGAAACCTAACCAAAGAGGTAAAGGATCTGTACCCCGAAACACCACAGAACGTTCCTGAAAGAAATTGAGGAAGGCATCAAGAGATGGAAAAATTTGCCGTTCTCATAGACAGGAAGAATTAATATTGTGAAAATGTCATGGTACCCAGGGCAATTTACACATTTCATGCAATCCCTATCGGAATAACATGGACTTTCTTCAGAGAGTCGGAACAAACCATCTTAAGTTTAGTGTGGAACCGGAAAAGACCCCGAATAGACAGGGGACTGACTATTAAAAACGAAGACCACGGCTGGGGGCATCACAATGCCAGATTTCAGGTTGTACTACAAAGCCGTGGCCGTCCAGACAGTGTGGTACTGGCACAAAAACGGACCCAGAGATCCATGGAACTGAACAACGAATCCAGAAGTGGACCCTCAACTTTACGGTCAACTAATATGCGACAAAGCAGGAAAGACTACGCACTGGAGTAAAGACAGTCTCTACAATAAACGGAGCTGGGAACATTGGACATCCACATGCAGAAGAAGGAACCTAGACCATTCTCTGACACCACACACAAAGATAAACTGAAAAAGGATGAAAGATCTAAATGTGAGACAAGAATCCATCCAAATCCTAGAGGCGAACAGAGGCAACACCCTTTTTCAACTTGGCCACAGCAACGTCTCGCAAGATACATCCGCGAGGGCAAGAGAAACAAAAGCAACAACGAAGTGCTGGGACTTCACCCAGATCGAACGCTCCTGCACAGCAAAAGAAGCAGTCCACAAAAGTAAAAGACAACCTACAGAACGGGAGCAGATACTTGCACACGACCTCTCAGACAAAGGGCTAGTGTCCAAGATCCATAAAGGACGCATTCCACTCAAGAGCAGAGAAACAAACAATCCGATCGTGAAACGGGCAAAAGACACGAACAGAAATCGCACAGGGGAAGACAGAGACACGGCCAACAAGCACATGAGAACATGCCCCGCATCGCTGGCCATCAGGGAACTACCGATCCAAACCCCCATGATGACATACCACCTCACACCAGTGGGAATGCGGGAAAAGTCACAAGACAGGAAACCACAAATGTTGGAGAGGATGCGGACAAGGGGAACCCTCTTGCACTGTAGGTGGGAATGTGACCTGGTGCAGCCACTCTGGCCAACTGTGTGGATGGAGGTTCCTCAAAGAGTTAAAAACAGATCTTCCCTGCGGCCCAGCAATTGCACTGCTGGGGATTCACCCCAAAGGTGCAGATGCGGTGAAATGCGGGGACACCTGCACCCCGATGTTTATGGCAGCAATGTCCACAATAGCCAAACTGTGGCGGGAGCCTCGGGGTCCATCGAGAGATGAATGGATAAAGACGATGTGGTCCACGGCTACAATGGAATATCACTCAGCCACGAGAAACGACAAATACCCACCATTTGCTCCGACGTGGACGGACCTGGAGGGACTATGCTGAGTGAAATAAGTCCACCGGAAAAGGACAAACTTGATATGGTCTCATTCCTTTGGGGAATATAAAAACTAGTGAAAGGGAACAAAGGGGATGGAGAAAATGAGGGGAAATATCAGTGAGGGCGACAAAACAGGACACACACCGAACTCTGGGAACTGAACAAGAGGTAGCGCAAGGGGAGGTGGGCGGGCGGCTGGGGCGACCGGGTGATGGGCACTGATGGGGGCACTTGGCGGGATGAGCACTGGGTGTTATGCTATATGCTGGCAAATTGGAACTCCAATACAAAAATGTAAAAACAGAAAACATTTTGCTACTATTTAACACGGACTAGTATGTCCAAATGTTAGCTTCACAACCCCTCCCCTTAAATCTGACCAAATTAGAGTTCTCAATGCGATTTCGCTATTTTGGCCACAAACTAATGACGGACCTTTTAAATTGAGATTTGGACACATGAAACATAAAGAATACGGCTTAGGAGGTTTGCTTAACAATGGCACCACGAGCAAAACTGAATAATGATTCTGTTTTGTGCGTGTGCAGAGAGCAAAAGAGCAAGTGTAAGGAGGAGACGGGCAGAGAGAAAGGAAGAGAGAGTACGAAGCAGGCTCCATGCTGAATATGGGTGAATCTGATGACCCTGAGGTCACGAGCAGAGCTGAAACCAGGAGGCACAAACTTAGCTGACAGAAACACCCAGGTGCCCCTAACAAGATTTCTTGAGGTTATTTAATGAATCAATTTTCATGTTACCCTCTGGGATCTCCGCTGATGGGTCAAGTTCTCTGCTACAGAAGATGGTAAATATTTTCCCCCGCGTTCCAGGGCAGGTGTCCCCGGGTTGTCTGCTCGTTTTTTCTTGTGTTGTTTCCACAGCAGATCCTGGGAAATAAATGGACATAGAAAGAGCTGTTGACTGACAGGTTGTTGTTAGAAGAGCCTCGAAAATTAAGGAGTCAATCCCATTTACAATTGCACCCAAAAGCATAAGATCCCTGGGAAGAAACCTAACCAAAGAGGTAAAGGATCTGTACCCCGAAACACCACAGAACGTTCCTGAAAGAAATTGAGGAAGGCATCAAGAGATGGAAAAATTTGCCGTTCTCATAGACAGGAAGAATTAATATTGTGAAAATGTCATGGTACCCAGGGCAATTTACACATTTCATGCAATCCCTATCGGAATAACATGGACTTTCTTCAGAGAGTCGGAACAAACCATCTTAAGTTTAGTGTGGAACCGGAAAAGACCCCGAATAGACAGGGGACTGACTATTAAAAACGAAGACCACGGCTGGGGGCATCACAATGCCAGATTTCAGGTTGTACTACAAAGCCGTGGCCGTCCAGACAGTGTGGTACTGGCACAAAAACGGACCCAGAGATCCATGGAACTGAACAACGAATCCAGAAGTGGACCCTCAACTTTACGGTCAACTAATATGCGACAAAGCAGGAAAGACTACGCACTGGAGTAAAGACAGTCTCTACAATAAACGGAGCTGGGAACATTGGACATCCACATGCAGAAGAAGGAACCTAGACCATTCTCTGACACCACACACAAAGATAAACTGAAAAAGGATGAAAGATCTAAATGTGAGACAAGAATCCATCCAAATCCTAGAGGCGAACAGAGGCAACACCCTTTTTCAACTTGGCCACAGCAACGTCTCGCAAGATACATCCGCGAGGGCAAGAGAAACAAAAGCAACAACGAAGTGCTGGGACTTCACCCAGATCGAACGCTCCTGCACAGCAAAAGAAGCAGTCCACAAAAGTAAAAGACAACCTACAGAACGGGAGCAGATACTTGCACACGACCTCTCAGACAAAGGGCTAGTGTCCAAGATCCATAAAGGACGCATTCCACTCAAGAGCAGAGAAACAAACAATCCGATCGTGAAACGGGCAAAAGACACGAACAGAAATCGCACAGGGGAAGACAGAGACACGGCCAACAAGCACATGAGAACATGCCCCGCATCGCTGGCCATCAGGGAACTACCGATCCAAACCCCCATGATGACATACCACCTCACACCAGTGGGAATGCGGGAAAAGTCACAAGACAGGAAACCACAAATGTTGGAGAGGATGCGGACAAGGGGGAACCCTCTTGCACTGTAGGTGGGAATGTGACCTGGTGCAGCCACTCTGGCCAACTGTGTGGATGGAGGTTCCTCAAAGAGTTAAAAACAGATCTTCCCTGCGGCCCAGCAATTGCACTGCTGGGGATTCACCCCAAAGGTGCAGATGCGGTGAAATGCGGGGACACCTGCACCCCGATGTTTATGGCAGCAATGTCCACAATAGCCAAACTGTGGCGGGAGCCTCGGGGTCCATCGAGAGATGAATGGATAAAGACGATGTGGTCCACGGCTACAATGGAATATCACTCAGCCACGAGAAACGACAAATACCCACCATTTGCTCCGACGTGGACGGACCTGGAGGGACTATGCTGAGTGAAATAAGTCCACCGGAAAAGGACAAACTTGATATGGTCTCATTCCTTTGGGGGAATATAAAAACTAGTGAAAGGGAACAAAGGGGATGGAGAAAATGAGGGGAAATATCAGTGAGGGCGACAAAACAGGACACACACCGAACTCTGGGAACTGAACAAGAGGTAGCGCAAGGGGAGGTGGGCGGGCGGCTGGGGCGACCGGGTGATGGGCACTGATGGGGGCACTTGGCGGGATGAGCACTGGGTGTTATGCTATATGCTGGCAAATTGGAACTCCAATACAAAAATGTAAAAACAGAAAACATTTTGCTACTATTTAACACGGACTAGTATGTCCAAATGTTAGCTTCACAACCCCTCCCCTTAAATCTGACCAAATTAGAGTTCTCAATGCGATTTCGCTATTTTGGCCACAAACTAATGACGGACCTTTTAAATTGAGATTTGGACACATGAAACATAAAGAATACGGCTTAGGAGGTTTGCTTAACAATGGCACCACGAGCAAAACTGAATAATGATTCTGTTTTGTGCGTGTGCAGAGAGCAAAAGAGCAAGTGTAAGGAGGAGACGGGCAGAGAGAAAGGAAGAGAGAGTACGAAGCAGGCTCCATGCTGAATATGGGTGAATCTGATGACCCTGAGGTCACGAGCAGAGCTGAAACCAGGAGGCACAAACTTAGCTGACAGAAACACCCAGGTGCCCCTAACAAGATTTCTTGAGGTTATTTAATGAATCAATTTTCATGTTACCCTCTGGGATCTCCGCTGATGGGTCAAGTTCTCTGCTACAGAAGATGGTAAATATTTTCCCCCGCGTTCCAGGGCAGGTGTCCCCGGGTTGTCTGCTCGTTTTTTCTTGTGTTGTTTCCACAGCAGATCCTGGGAAATAAATGGACATAGAAAGAGCTGTTGACTGACAGGTTGTTGTTAGAAGAGCCTCGAAAATTAAGGAGTCAATCCCATTTACAATTGCACCCAAAAGCATAAGATCCCTGGGAAGAAACCTAACCAAAGAGGTAAAGGATCTGTACCCCGAAACACCACAGAACGTTCCTGAAAGAAATTGAGGAAGGCATCAAGAGATGGAAAAATTTGCCGTTCTCATAGACAGGAAGAATTAATATTGTGAAAATGTCATGGTACCCAGGGCAATTTACACATTTCATGCAATCCCTATCGGAATAACATGGACTTTCTTCAGAGAGTCGGAACAAACCATCTTAAGTTTAGTGTGGAACCGGAAAAGACCCCGAATAGACAGGGGACTGACTATTAAAAACGAAGACCACGGCTGGGGGCATCACAATGCCAGATTTCAGGTTGTACTACAAAGCCGTGGCCGTCCAGACAGTGTGGTACTGGCACAAAAACGGACCCAGAGATCCATGGAACTGAACAACGAATCCAGAAGTGGACCCTCAACTTTACGGTCAACTAATATGCGACAAAGCAGGAAAGACTACGCACTGGAGTAAAGACAGTCTCTACAATAAACGGAGCTGGGAACATTGGACATCCACATGCAGAAGAAGGAACCTAGACCATTCTCTGACACCACACACAAAGATAAACTGAAAAAGGATGAAAGATCTAAATGTGAGACAAGAATCCATCCAAATCCTAGAGGCGAACAGAGGCAACACCCTTTTTCAACTTGGCCACAGCAACGTCTCGCAAGATACATCCGCGAGGGCAAGAGAAACAAAAGCAACAACGAAGTGCTGGGACTTCACCCAGATCGAACGCTCCTGCACAGCAAAAGAAGCAGTCCACAAAAGTAAAAGACAACCTACAGAACGGGAGCAGATACTTGCACACGACCTCTCAGACAAAGGGCTAGTGTCCAAGATCCATAAAGGACGCATTCCACTCAAGAGCAGAGAAACAAACAATCCGATCGTGAAACGGGCAAAAGACACGAACAGAAATCGCACAGGGGAAGACAGAGACACGGCCAACAAGCACATGAGAACGTGCCCCGCATCGCTGGCCATCAGGGAACTACCGATCCAAACCCCCATGATGACATACCACCTCACACCAGTGGGAATGCGGGAAAAGTCACAAGACAGGAAACCACAAATGTTGGAGAGGATGCGGACAAGGGGGAACCCTCTTGCACTGTAGGTGGGAATGTGACCTGGTGCAGCCACTCTGGCCAACTGTGTGGATGGAGGTTCCTCAAAGAGTTAAAAACAGATCTTCCCTGCGGCCCAGCAATTGCACTGCTGGGGATTCACCCCAAAGGTGCAGATGCGGTGAAATGCGGGGACACCTGCACCCCGATGTTTATGGCAGCAATGTCCACAATAGCCAAACTGTGGCGGGAGCCTCGGGGTCCATCGAGAGATGAATGGATAAAGACGATGTGGTCCACGGCTACAATGGAATATCACTCAGCCACGAGAAACGACAAATACCCACCATTTGCTCCGACGTGGACGGACCTGGAGGGACTATGCTGAGTGAAATAAGTCCACCGGAAAAGGACAAACTTGATATGGTCTCATTCCTTTGGGGGAATATAAAAACTAGTGAAAGGGAACAAAGGGGATGGAGAAAATGAGGGGAAATATCAGTGAGGGCGACAAAACAGGACACACACCGAACTCTGGGAACTGAACAAGAGGTAGCGCAAGGGGAGGTGGGCGGGCGGCTGGGGCGACCGGGTGATGGGCACTGATGGGGGCACTTGGCGGGATGAGCACTGGGTGTTATGCTATATGCTGGCAAATTGGAACTCCAATACAAAAATGTAAAAACAGAAAACATTTTGCTACTATTTAACACGGACTAGTATGTCCAAATGTTAGCTTCACAACCCCTCCCCTTAAATCTGACCAAATTAGAGTTCTCAATGCGATTTCGCTATTTTGGCCACAAACTAATGACGGACCTTTTAAATTGAGATTTGGACACATGAAACATAAAGAATACGGCTTAGGAGGTTTGCTTAACAATGGCACCACGAGCAAAACTGAATAATGATTCTGTTTTGTGCGTGTGCAGAGAGCAAAAGAGCAAGTGTAAGGAGGAGACGGGCAGAGAGAAAGGAAGAGAGAGTACGAAGCAGGCTCCATGCTGAATATGGGTGAATCTGATGACCCTGAGGTCACGAGCAGAGCTGAAACCAGGAGGCACAAACTTAGCTGACAGAAACACCCAGGTGCCCCTAACAAGATTTCTTGAGGTTATTTAATGAATCAATTTTCATGTTACCCTCTGGGATCTCCGCTGATGGGTCAAGTTCTCTGCTACAGAAGATGGTAAATATTTTCCCCCGCGTTCCAGGGCAGGTGTCCCCGGGTTGTCTGCTCGTTTTTTCTTGTGTTGTTTCCACAGCAGATCCTGGGAAATAAATGGACATAGAAAGAGCTGTTGACTGACAGGTTGTTGTTAGAAGAGCCTCGAAAATTAAGGAGTCAATCCCATTTACAATTGCACCCAAAAGCATAAGATCCCTGGGAAGAAACCTAACCAAAGAGGTAAAGGATCTGTACCCCGAAACACCACAGAACGTTCCTGAAAGAAATTGAGGAAGGCATCAAGAGATGGAAAAATTTGCCGTTCTCATAGACAGGAAGAATTAATATTGTGAAAATGTCATGGTACCCAGGGCAATTTACACATTTCATGCAATCCCTATCGGAATAACATGGACTTTCTTCAGAGAGTCGGAACAAACCATCTTAAGTTTAGTGTGGAACCGGAAAAGACCCCGAATAGACAGGGGACTGACTATTAAAAACGAAGACCACGGCTGGGGGCATCACAATGCCAGATTTCAGGTTGTACTACAAAGCCGTGGCCGTCCAGACAGTGTGGTACTGGTACAAATGTGATCCTGGGAAATAAGTGGAAATATAGATCATGACTTCTAGAATTGTCCTGTTGTATGTAACCTCATTCCTTCAAAAACCCAGGTACCTAGAGCGGATGTACATTTCCAAAGTTTTTAAAGGATTATTTTGAATGCACTCAGCTGTGCACCCAAATACTTTAGGGATAGTGTCCTCAAGTGGCAGAAAACCAATTATGTAAAACCAACAACTTATTAACAGCAGCTTACTTAAGAAAAACATTTGCTGCCATTACAGAGCAATTACTTTTTACTCATATCTGATATAAAGTGATTTAAATTGGCAGAAGTAATGACTACAAAAATGTCTCTAAAATTTCCTTGGCCCTAAAGGGAGGGAAAAACAAAACAAGACAAAACCAGGGAGGGAGACGAACCAGAAGAGACTCTCAACCATAGGAAGTAAACTGAGGGTTGCTGCAGGGGAAGTGGGCTGGGGGCTGGGGTGACTGGGTGATGGGCACTAAGGAGGGCACATGATGGACTGCTGAGTCCTTGTTATTTACAACTGATGAATCAGTAAACTCTGCCTCTCAAGCAAATAATATGCTGCATGTCTATTGGATTTTAATTAAAAATAAGTAAAATACACTTGGCCCTAGATGCCCTAAAATTTACATCCAAATATCCTAAGCGTAACACCTGAAAATCACGTCCTCTAGGTATCTAAGATACCGGCAAGCGTAACTGTTTTGTAGTTTCAGTGACACGTTTGCTTAATTAAAAGAGGATGTGTACCTAAGAGAGAAAAGGGATTCTTAAAATACTGGGTGAGAGGTCTCACTAAATAGCTTAAGTACTTCTCACCCAACATTCAGATGACTAATCCTTACAGATTCCTTAGAAGGCTGAGAAATTATTAACCATCCATGTTAGTACAACATTTCTCATAGCTCTTAAAGTCATTAATACGAGTTTTAAGTTCTTGGGGTACCTGGGAGACTCCGTCTGGTTAAGCCTCTGCTTCGGCTGGGGGGTGATCTCGGGGTCCAGGGGTCAAGCCCCTTCCAGCAGGCGGCGCGCAGGGCAGGCGGTGGAGGCTGCCCCACCGGAGACTGCGGGGGCTGCCGGGCGGAGGCTGCCGGGCGGAGGCTGCTGGGTCGGGGGCTGCCGGGCGGAGGCTGCCGGGCGGAGACTGCCGGGCCGGGGGCTGCCGGGGCGCCAGCAGCGGCCAGGCGGCGGCGGCGATGGGGAAGGCGGCGGTTGGGCTGGGAGAGAGCGTGCAGCCCGCGGCGTGGCGTCGGAGGGGCGGGGCCGCGGAGGGGGCGTGGCGTCGGAGGGGCGGGGCCGCGGAGGGGCGTGGCGTCGGAGGGGCGGGGCCCGGAGGGGCGGGGCCGCGGGAGGAGCCCGGAGCAGCAGGTGGCCCAGCCCAGGCAGCCCCCCAGAAGCGCTGAGTCCAGGCAGCAGGTCGGCCCATCGGGCCAGTGCGGACGAGGAGCAGGAAGAGCGAGGCGCTGGCGACCCCACCACGGGAGTCGCTCCCTTCTACGCCCGGGGCCCGCTTCTGAGATGAGCTCTGCGTGTTATGCCGTATGTTGGCAAATTGAGCTCCAATAAAAGTAAAAGAAATTAGATTCTTTGTATCTGAACCTAGAATATAATATTTCAACCTGTAGCTTCTTTGTTTATTCTTCATTCCAATCTTCTATAATTCTCATAAAAAGAACATGGGTCTAGAACACAATGAAGAAAAATGAAACTCGTGTGTATGTGGAGGGGGTTAATAATTCTGGGGAGTTCTTAAGGTAAGGTAATATTACTCATTTAATACATGTTGATAGCATCAGTCTACACCCTGGTCACTGGTGGACATGATCCTTAACAAGTGTTGAAATTCCCAAAATGTTTTATTTTTTTTATTTATTTATGATAGAGAGAGGCAGAGACACAGGCAGAGGGAGAAGCAGGCTCCATGCACCAGGAGCCCAATGTGGGATTCGATCCCGGGTCTCCAGGATCACGCCCTGGGCCAAAGGCAGGCGCCGAACCGCTGCGCCACCCAGGGATCCCTCCCCTCCCAAGATGTTTTAACAAGAGTAACCAGTTATTACATAGCACTTCATAAGTTTTTTTTTTTTTTTTTACTTTATAAGTACTAATACAAATGAATCATTGAGTTTTAGGTAAAATCAGTAATACCTGAAGATCATCTATATTTACTTGGAATTTCTTTAAAAAAATAGAGTGTGGACTCTACATACTGATTTGTTGAAGAAGACACTAGTAGGTAAGGAACTGAAAAAACATCAGTGGCAAGCACCCTTGAATTTATTGTTGCTTTGCATTTCTGTGTCAGAGGTAATGCAATCACAGTTGGACTAGGGACTTCAGGGACTCCTGGCTTTCTGAGAGCGATGATCCCATGGTAGTCTCCTGCTTCACTCAAAAGGCAGCCAAAATTAAATAAAGAAAATCTCTTTAGAAAGAAATGTGAAACAGTGTATGTTTTAATCAGTATCTGTTCTAGGGACATTTAAGTGGAGATTTTCTTTCATGTGACTGGAACTTCCAAAGAACAAGACCAATCAAAGCCTCTAGCTCTAGTAACACAGTATATTTTAATGACCTAGAATTTCTAACATATTTATCTAATTCAGCATCTTTACTGATCCAAATTTTCTATTTTTCTTTTTTCTTTCTTTCTTCTTCTTTTTCTTTCTTCCCAGCTAAATATCTTTTCCATTCCCCTTTTTCTCTGCATTTTGATCAGGTCCTAAGAATTACATCCACAAAATATGGAAATCCTTCCATATAAAACAGATAACTTACTAACTGGATAACCAATTGATTGAGAACTACTAAGAAGGAAGATCTTTTTTTTTTTTTTTTTAAGAAGAAAGATCTTATTGAAAACTTTGGAACTTTTGTTTTGATTCCAGAGATGCTGGCATGAGTACAGAAAGGGAGTCATCTCAGATAAAATGATTTATAGAGTTTTCTTAAAAGAAGTTTTTTTGAGGGCCTTTCATATGCAAATTTATTCCAATAGCACTTACACTTAGCCATCTACCTCTCTATATTTGACCATTTAATTCTCAGAGAGCATCTATTTTCTTTTCTTTTTTAAGATTTTATTTATTTATTCATGAGAATACACAGAGAGAGAGAGAGAGAGAGAGAGAGAGAGAGAGAGAGAGAGAGGCAGAGACAAAGGCAGAGGGAGAAGCAGCCTCCATGCAGGGAGCCTGACGTCCTCCGGGATCACGCCCTGGGCTGTAGGCGGCGCTAAACCGCTGAGCCACCGGGACTGCCCTAGAGCATCTATTTTCTGTGAAAGAACCCGGGGGTTGGAATGCAGGAACAGAAGACTAAGTGAGCTATCATTCCAATATTGTGATTATACGATTTGTTAGAAAATAATTATTTATTTATTTATTTGTTAAAGATTTATTTATTTATTTATTTATGATAGACAGAGAGAGAGAGAGAGAGAGAGGCAGAGACACAGGAGGAGGGAGAAGCAGGCTCCATGCCTGGAGCCCGACGTGGGACTCGATCCCAGGACTCCAGAATGGGGCCCTGGGCCAAAGGCAGGCGCTAAACCCCTGAGCCACCCAGGGATCCCCAAGAAGAATAATTTAAATATGTATTATTGCCTTCTCTGTATATCTGTACTAAGCAGGTAGTAGGAGTAAGGCTATGCAGCTATTTCTGCATTTACTTGTAGAACCAATTATAGAAATAATTATGAAAACGAATGCAAATAGGTATTCACTCGGCATCGAAAATTATTTTAGCAATGAAATTCTTGAGTTTCCATAATACCACTGAAATATATACACGTATATATATATATATATATAATACATACACGCCACGTGTATCATTTCTTTGACAAGCACACACACGTATATATACATATATACAAATATATGTATAAGTGGTCAGAGGGATTCTCCTCTTTTCTAATTTTATCAGATTTCTTTCTTTTGGCATTTCCTTTTCTTTATTCAAAAACTCCAGCTTTCATTTCAGTCACGAGCAAGTCTAGGACTTGAGCTAAAGTGGCAGGAGATGAGTGATAGCAATATGGAGAGAAATCAAGAATGAAAGGGAATTGGTATGACTGAGCCTCAGCCATAAATGGCCCCTGAACCAAAGTCCAGAATAGTCTTGTGAGTGTGTGTATGTGTAAAACAAGAAAGGATAAACCTTAGGTCCAACATTATTAGTACAAACATGAGATAAACATAAATCGGAGAAATACATTAAGCAAATCTTCAGTGGCCAAAATGAGGGGAAAAAGTGGAAATGACTGACATGGAGTCACTCATCTTTTGGGTACTGTGGGACACTTAAGAATCTCTGCCAAAAGACTCGGTATTTCAAGGACAAGAGATTGAAGAGCCTAACCTGAAAATCTCTTCCATAGGTCTGGGGGTTGAAGTTAAACTATTGATAAGAACAGAGAAATTCCACAGAAAGAATCTAAGCAAAAAACCGATTTCTGGTTTCGTACCTTCACATTCAGTGTCCAGAGTTCTCTAGAAAGGCACACCCCCCACAAAAGATTTAGAGATTATGAATATAAAGCCTTGCTAAGCAGTTATTCAAATCATACTTATCAAACAAATGAATAAATGTCGAGTGAGCGTCAACAGAAAGCCCAAAGAACAAGATTCTCAATAGTAACAATAATACTAATGATTAATAATAATATAGCAGCTATCTCGTAATATCGCAGGATCACGCCCCCAGCGGGAGGCAGGTGCCAAACCGCTGAGCAACCCGGGCGTCGCATATTCTGTCCATTTTAGAGATGGGAACACTGAGGCCCAGAGAGCGTCAGGAACAGTCCCACCGACTCCCTCCCGCGGCCGCCTCCAGCCTGGCACGGAGCGGACCTGCAGGGAGGGATGCAGCCCCGCCCCGCCCCGCCCAGCAGAGGGTGGGACCTGCGGCGCCGCGCGTGGTGGGCGGGGCTGGCCGCGGGGGGCGGGGCGGGGCGGGGCGGCCGCGCGGGGGGCCCTGACGTCACCGGGCCCTCGGCCCCGCCCCGCCGCGGCTGCTGCAGCCGAACGAGCGAGCGAGCGAGCGAGCGAGCGAGCGCCGCCGCCGCCGCCGCCCGGACGGGAACGCAGCGCGCGCGGCCATGGCCTCGGGCCCCGCGGGTAAGCGGGTGAGCGGGCGCGGGGCGCGGGGGCGGCGGGAGGGCGGCCCGTGCCCCCGCCCCCAGCGCGCGGCTGACCCGCCGTCCCCCCGTCTCGTCCCACAGAGGCGGACACGCGGCAGAGGCTGCTGCGCACTGTCAAGAAGGAGGTAGGTGCCGGGGGTGGGGTGGCCGGGGCGCGACCCTGGGGAGGGAGCCGCCGAAGCTCCCCCGGGGGAAGGGTCTCCAAAGGGGTGGTGGCCCGTGGCAGCGGGGCGGCCACCCGAGCTGTGGGGCTCACCTGGGTAGGACTGGAGGCGGGTGAGTTTGGGGGTGGGGGCCTCGGGTGCTGGGGGGCTCGATGTTTTGCTGCTGTGTGTAGGGGCGGACGCAGCGGGAGGGCCGCCCCAGATGGGGGCACACCCGGGTGTGTCTGGGTCGGACCCCCTCTTGTGGAGGAGCAGGGGCGTGGGTCTCATTAAGGTGAGGCAAGCACCTGGGGGCTGACTGGCCTTACTGGGAGGTGACTGGCCTTACTGGGCTGGATAGGGCTGCAGAAGGACGACCAGACTTCGGGAAAAGGGAACGGTTCACTTTGGGATAACACCCCCCATCTCCCCTTGCCCACGGTTCTCAGTCCTTAGAACCGCCCCCAGGAGCTTGGGGACTCCTTCCCCGAAAGTCCCTGGTCATTGGGTTACAGCATCTGTGGGCCTGTGCCAGGGCGCCTTGGCAGGCGAGTTCCCCTCACCCACCCCTCCGCACCCCCGACACGCAGTAGGGTGCGAGTCAGGCAGGGTTCACCTGCCCCTCTGCCCCCTTCACTCTCCTTGGGGCCAGCTGGGAGCCCAGTCTAGCCTTTAGTGAATAGCCCTTGACTTCCCGAAGAGGGGCGAGCCTGTAGTGGTGGGTTCCTGGGAAGCATTTAGATGCCCGGACTGTGTGTGGGGCATGCTCACTCCTGTGTGGGCGACGACATGTGCCTGTGAGTGTGTGTGTCTGAGGCTGTCTGTGCATCTGCCTGGAGATAACCAAGTGTATCTCCATATTGCGTGTACATGCGTCTGCGTGTTGATCTGTTTTTGTGAGTATGGTGTGTAACCGTGTGATGCATAAGTCTCTGTGTGCGTGAGTGAGGCTGCGACCATGTATGCGTGACTGTATGCGTGTGTGCTGCCCTCCTTATGCTGCCTCACATCCCTCACCTGGGACCCGATCACTGTTGAGCGGCATCACCTCCGTATCTTGAGTCCTCAGCTCGAGATCACAAATGGCTGTAGACCTTGGGGCTGGCCTGATTGTGTGTGTGTGTGTGTGTGTGTGTGTATACACGCATGCGTGTGCACACACGAGGAGGGTGTCAGCCTGGTGTCAGCACTGAGCGCCCAGAAGCCCCTCCCTGCATGGTGGCAGTCAGCCATCAAAGACTGCCTGGAAGAGGGGACCTGTGGCTGCCCCTCCCTCCTCAGAAAGCATGGGCCCATGTTGTGTGTAGGTCTCTGTGTGGCATGTCTCGTGTTGTTTAAAGAATCAGCTCTAGAGCTAGTTGTGTATTCTGGCATTTCTTTTTTTTTTTTTTTAAATGGTGGTTTTCTTTTTTTTTTTAATTTTTTATTTATTTATGATAGTCACAGAGAGAGAGAGAGAGAGGCAGAGACACAGGCGGAGGGAGAAGCAGGCTCCATGCACCGGGAGCCCGACGTGGGATTCGATCCCGGGTCTCCAGGATCAGGCCCTGGGCCAAAGGCAGGCGCCAAACCGCTGCGCCACCCAGGGATCCCTATTCTGGCATTTCTGAATAAGGATACATAATGGGAGATGTGGAATTCCTCAGAAAGGCCCAGAACTTTTCAGTTTAGCCCTCTTAGAGGCATTGTGGGGACCTGAAGAAAGCTCTTCTAGATAGACCATCTTTCCAACAAAACCTGCACACCTACAATTGTCTGATGACTGAGTTGGTGGAGGGTGTCTTATAGAAACTCTCTCAAAAGCCTTCAGGTTAAAAGCCTGTAGTCTCTTTGTTCGTTGTTTAAACCTAGATGTAATTTGTACTCCCCGGAGATTGTCACATGGAATGGCTGTGTTTTCTTTCCTTTGAAGCGTTTAGTTATTCATGAGAGACACAGAGAGAGTAGCAGAGACACAGGCAGAGGGAGAAGCAGGCTCCCTGTGCGGAGCCTGACGCGGGACTCGATCCCAGGACCCCGGGATCAAGCCCTGAGCCAAAGGCAGACACTCAGCCACTGAGCCACCCAGGCATCCCCGGAATGGCTACGTTTCTCAGGAAATGGCTTGCTGGTTCAATGGAAGGGATCTACAGGTAGAAGAGCCTGTGAGCAAGGCGTCTGGGAGGGCAGTGCCTCTCGGTATCTGCTTCTGGGCAGGGCTTCAGCTGGGCCTCTGGCCTGGTTCTGCCAGGAGCTCCCTTGGTGCCCTGGACAAGTCCTTTCCTCTCTCAAGGACTCAGTTTCCACAGCTGGAGAAAGAGGCATTGGTGCAATGCTCCTGGAGGTCCTACCCATGTCAGTCTAGTTTGGAATATCGGCAAGCTGTGGGGGACACGTTGCCTCTAGTGACCAGAGTTGTCAGCTTGCATCCTCTGTCCTGGGAGCAGCCGAGTTTGGGGCTTAGAATGAGCTTTCTGCCTGGCCTAAGGCTGAGGCCATCACTTGATCAGAGGGACCCCTTGGCATCCTGCTTGGTGCCTGAAGGGGTCAGGGACAGAACCTCGCAAGTTTGGGCAAAGGTCCTTGACCCTGGATCTGCAGTCAGAAGGCAGGTTTATAGTCACAAGTTGGTGGCTGATTCTAAATTCTGCATTTCTCAGGGCACATCATTTCAGTAATCAGAGTTTCCATAGAGTGGATACTATTCTGTACCATATCCTGTGTACACGGTGACTTTATGAGGTGACTGAGGCTGCCCCCATTTCATGGACAAGGAAACCAAGCCTGGAGACGAGGTGTGGATTGCTCAGGAGAACACCACCAAGAAGGTGCAAAGCCAGGGACTTAACCCCCCAGATCTGTCTGACATCAGAGCCAGGCTCTCACCTCTATATCCTAAACGTGCTCATCCGTGTCTCCACGGCACCACAGTCTCAGCTGTGGGTGGAATGATTTCCATCTTACAGAGGTGAAAAATGGGCCAGACGGGATAAGTGATTTCTCAAGGGCACAGAAGCAGTCAAGGGAAGACAAGTTCAAGTCTTCTATGAACCCCTTGTTCAGCATGGGTGCCCCTAAGGGCATGGCGATGAGTCCATTGCCCCACCAAAGCAGACCTCCTCTCTCCTTGCCTTCCTCTGCCCACCTCTTGGGAGAGCATCTTGTCCCAGTATCAGAGAGCCAGTCTTCAATGGAATGGTGGAGGGAAACTCTTTGCCTAGAAATCTGGGAGTCAAGTCTGCTCTTCCTTCTCCTCATCTTTTGGGTTCAGAGAAGTCACATCCCTGCCTGTCACAGCCTCATCCAAAGGTACCTCCCGTCATTCTTCCTGGAAAGGGTGGCTTAACAGTCAGTTTCTTTAGACAAGGTTTGCAAGCTTGGACTGAGCCACAGAAGCCAGGAAAGCCAGCAGCGGCTATGGGGCTGGAAGCTCTGTCCTGTGCTGACTCTGGGAGCCAGTATGACTCAGAACCATGAAGCAGGTCAAGAAGGAGCATTGGGCTCACCCAGAGCGGGGTTCAAATTCCGACATGTTTATTTACTGAAGGGTGTCTGTGTGCCAGACACAGGACTGGGCTCTGCGGATGCAGCAGTGAATAAAAGAAGTCCTGCCCTCTTAGGGCTGACATTCCCATTTTGGTACACAGATCCTGATAGACATTCTGAGTGTAATTCAGAGGATTATGACAGCCTTTGCACCAAGGTGTGAAGGAGAGGTACTCAGCACCACAAGAACATACAACAAGGTCAACGTGGCCCAGGAAGGTGCCCTGGAGGAAGTGGTGTTAAGAAGATACGTGAAGGATGAGCACACCTTTAAGATGAAGGCAGGAGGTGGGAAGACAGAGGAGAACCATTCCTGGCAGAGGGAACTGCATTTACAAAGACTTTGTGGCTGGAGGGAGCACCGTGAACTTGAGTGATGAGAGGACTCTGAAGTGGCTGGAGTACAGAGAGGAAGGAGTATGGTGCCAAATGCAGAGGGGCAGAGCAGGAGGTCCTATCCTAAAAGCACAGGGAAAAAGGATGGGGGGGACAGGAGCTAGGTGGAGGAAGAGGGCGGAGCTAAACTTGATGGCTTGTAATTATTGCACAGCCTTAGCGGGGCCTCTGTCTTTACCTTCACAAGGGTCTGAGTTTCAGTTTATTCCTAGTGAGGATGAAGATCACTTGTCAGGATAAGCGATGTGAAAACACCCACCACATTAGCCTGAGCTGCCTCTGGGCAGGCATCTTATTTTTTCTGTCTCCCCGGTGTCGCCCAGAGATAGGGTGGCCTGTGTGAGATTTCCTGCAGTTAAACCCAACCAGCTCCATTCTGGCTCCTCCCTGGCTCGCTTTGCCCTCCCCTCCTTTCCCCTCCCCGCCTCCAGCCCTTAATTTTGTTTTGGTTCCCAGAGTGGCAGCTGCGGGGACTGGCTTCTTGTTGCCATGACGACTGCCAATAAAGGAGCCAGCCACTAGAGCCAGGTTGATAACGGAAGCCAAGTGACTAACTGCCTTGTTTTCTTGCCTTGGGCTAGGCCTGGGAGGCCTCTTAATTGGAAGAGACAAAAGCGGGTGCTTGAGGGCGGGAGGACAGACCCCCGGGGGAAGGAGGCAGGGGGATGAGGCCGGTGCTGGAGACGAGGCTCTTGTGGACCTCTGCAAACTGGAGCTGGTATGAGAGCTGCCATGGGAGCCCTTGCCACAGCGGCTGAGCTGGGCGTGTTTGGGGAGCTGTGCCTTCCAGCCTTGGGACAGGGTAGGGGTGTGACGGGATGGTGGAGGAAGGTTTCACATCCTAAGAAGATTGGAGGAAGTGAGAGAATCAACTGATGTTTCTACTGAGACCCCTGTGGTGCTTCCAGTTGGATCTACTTCTTTCTTCTCAATAAAAGAGGGGCAACAGTTTTGCCCCCCAGGTGAGGTTGCCGGACAAGTATAGGTCATCGAGTTAAATTCGAATTCCAGATAAACAGAAGTAAAGTGCCTAGTGCTAAATCTGGCAGCCCTAGCCCAGG